CGAATCTGCTCTCAAGCCCTCCCAAATCTTCAATATTTCGACATTAGCCCCCTAAATCTTTGAAATTGATCTCATGCCCCAAAAATCATATTCGTATGTTGAAATAAGTTCATTAGTTAAAATCTGGTTGAAGTGGGTATCCCAAATCCTAATTTGTTATACCGTTAAGCTCCCATAATTCGTTTAGTAAAATCCTAACCTAAACCTATTTTCCAATTCACTTTCTCCAACGTCTTCCCCAATAGCTTTCTTCAGCTCTACTCCTAAATTTGCATCAGATAGATTCATATTGAGAAAGATGTTGGAGAAGATGCTAAGTTAGAAAATTGGGTTTGAGTAGAGTTTTATTAAATAGAGTTGAGGAGCTTAACAGTAATAAGTTAAAATGGTTAATGGATTTGGGTATGTGTGAGAAGAGTAAAACTGACAAATCATCGGAAAAGTTAAATTAAATAGGAAAAATTCTCCAATGATAAAAAATATGAGACCAACAGGGGGGACATGTGAGATGTCCCCCTCCTATTGCATAATGAGTTGACCATCATTAATGATGACCACCTCATTATGCAATAGGAATGAGACACCTCATCTGTCCTCCATGCTAGTCCCTGTAGCAAAACCCATTAAATAGAATACCTCTCTCATTTTAATCAGATTTTAACTAGAGGAACATATTTCAACATGTTAATAATATTTTCGGAGCCTGGGATTAATTCCAAAGATTTGGAGGGCTTATATTGAAATACTGAAAAGGTTGGGGGGCTAATACAAGTAACCCATTAAAATATAGTTGTCAACGTGCAATATGAGATAAAGGGCCCGTTTGGTTGGTTTCCTAAAATCAAAGAAAAGGAAATCGGTACAAGGAAATTAATAAAATAATATTTTTATCCATTTCCATCCCTAAAACTCAACCATAACATCCAATAAAATATTATTTTTATCATCCAACTCATCTCATTTCATCTCCTTTCTTACATTTAAAAATAAACTAAACATAAGAAATGTGTCACATCATCCAACTCATCACATCTCATCTTATCTCATTTATAAAAATCACACACATCATCCAATAATATTGTGACAACTCATCTCATCTCATTAAACCTTCATTTCCATCCATTTCCTCAAAAAAAAAAAACAAGAAATTGATTTCCTTAAGTATGTGTCACATCATCCAATAATATACCTCCAACTCATCTCATCTCATCTATTTTCTTATTTTTAAAAACGAACCAAACATAAACAACCTCAAAACATCATCCAATAATATACCTCCAATTCATTTCCTTATTTTTTTAACCAACCAAACAACCTCAAAACAATTTTTTTAAAAAAATCACTCACATCATCCAATAATAAGGTGACAACTGATCTCATCTCATCTCCTATTTTATAATTTCCTTCATTTTTAAACCAACCAAACAACATCAAAACAATTATTTTAGGAAATAGATTTCCTATTCTTTGATTTCCCATTCTTTTTTGCGAAACAAACAGCCCCTAAATAACGACCTATTACCGCAGTTTTGCTCCTACTAAGATCAGAGAGACCGGTTCTTGTCCTTAACTGGTTGCGGACACGGGCCTAGGATAACGGGTAGTGGAGAGTATCCGAATCCGGAATTCCCAGCCCTGTCTCTGACTCTCTCTTCTCAGTCGCCTTTTCTTCTCGAGTTCGAACCTCAAAAACCCTAAAAATCGCTTCTTTATCAATGGAAGAAGATGAGCGAATCAATCTCTAAGCTATGATCTTAATCCAATCATGTCCCTAATCTCAAAGAATGCTTATTCTCACCCGCGGTCTCCGCACTCTCCGCTCCCCACTCCAAAACCCTACCAAAACCCTCCCCCTTCGTCCTCACTTCTCCACTTCGCCCCAAAACCCCAGCTCCGATCTTGACCTCGCTAAAATCTTCGCCGCCGGTAACTTTGCTGACCCTCGCCTCACTTCTTTGTTCTCCTCGGCCTCAGCCAGCGCAAGGGTTTCTGGGGTTTTAGCCCAGCTGAAACAAAACCCTAGGTCAGCATTTCAATTCTTTATCTGGGCATCAAACCAAAGGAATTTTAGACACACTGTTGAATCCTACTGTATTGCTGTTCATATTTTGTTCAAGGGTCGGATGTATTTTCAAGCTCAGCAGCTGCTGAAGGAGCTTGTGCGAGGTAATGGGGCGTCGTTTGAATGTGAAAAGTTGGTAGACTCACTTCGCTCGGCTGGGAAATTGTTGGGAAGTTACAATTTTGGCGTGTTTGATGCTCTTTTTGGGGCTTTGGTTGATTTGAGTATGCTTGATGAAGCCAGTAAGTGTTTTTATAGGATGAGGGAGTTCCAGATTTTGCCCAAGCTGAGGTCTTGTAACTATTTGTTGCAGAAGTTCGCGAAGTTGGGGAGCAGGGAAGCGTCAAAGAGGTTTTTTGATGATATAATGAGGTCAAATTTGTCTCCTACTGTGTTTACTTTCAATATTATGATTGATCTCTTGTGTAAAGAGGGGGATTTGGAGGCTGCAAGGGAGGTTTTTTCAAAGATGAAAGAGATTGGCTGCTCACCGGATGTGGTTACTTATAATTCCCTCATTGATGGCAATGGGAAGTGTGGGGAGTTGGAAGAAGCGGAAAGACTTCTTGATGAGATGAAAAGGGCTGATTGCAAGCCTGATGTGATAACCTATAATGCACTCATAAACTGCTTTTGCAAGTCTGGAAAGTTGCCAAAGGCTCTTGGTTACCTAAATGTGATGAGGAGGAATGATATTAGACCCAATGTGGTTACATTTAGCACTTTCATTGATGCATTTTGCAAGGAAGGAATGATGAATGAGGCAATCAAGTTCTTTGTTGACATGAGAATCAAAGGCTTATCACCCAACCAGTTCACATATACTTCTTTAATAGATGGGAATTGTAAGGCTGGGAACCTTAAGGAAGCTTTGATGCTGGCTGATGAAATGGCAAGGGAGAAAGTGGAGTTTAATGTTGTTACATACACGGCTTTGGTGGATGGGTTATGTAAAGAAGGGAGGGTTGCAGATGCAGAAGAGTTTTTCCAAGCAATGGTTAATGCTGGTGTTGCTGCCAATGAATTGATATACACTGCTCTTATTCATGGGCATTTCCAGAAGAAGAACATGAAGAGGGCAATGGATTTGCTGGCAGAAATGAAGGTAAAGGGTGGAAAGGTAGACTTGTCTTTGTATGGCACTCTTACATGGGGCCTTTGTACTGAAGGAAAAATCGACGCAGCTAGGTCTCTAGTTGATGAGATGGATAAGCATGATATGAAGCCAAATCACATTATATATTCCATTCTCATAGATGCTTACTTTAAGGCTGGAAAGGCTTCAGAAGCACTTGGTTTGTTTGAGAAAATGCTAGATTCCGGTATTCTTCCCACTGTTGTCACTTATTGCTCCTTAATTGATGGGTTATGCAAAGAAGGGTCTGTTCATGAGGCAACCAATCATTTTAATAAAATGAGAGAATTGGGTTTGCAGCCTAATGTTCCAGCTTATACAGCCTTGATTGATGGCCTTTCCATAAATGGTCGTTTGGAAGAAGCCACCAAGCTCTTTGATGAAATGGCAGAGAAGGGGATGGCACCAGACAAAATCACATTCACTTCTCTGATGGACGGACATTTGAAGCAAGGAAATTTTGAGGAAGGCTTTGCACTGAGGGACAGGATGGTAGAAAGTGGGCTTGATCTTGACTTGCATGCTTACACTTCTCTCATATGGGGCTTCTGTAATCTTGGGCAAATTGAAAAGGCAAGGAAATTGCTGACGGAGATGATTAACAACGGAGTTGTTCCTGATCAGGCTGTTTATAACTGCCTGATAAGTAACTATCACAAGTTGGGAAATATGGAAAAAGTCTTGGAATTGCAAAATGAAATGAAAAGCAGGGATATAGACCCTGATACCAGATTTGATAATGTGCCAGGTTACAAAACTTGAAAGGTTATGAAAAACATGCAGCGCCAACCCGGCCATGTATCATCAATTTGGAATAGAACATCCTGGCTCCATAATGGTTTTAATTGATGGAGTTGTAGCCCCAAGGCTTGGGGTTTCTGAAAGGAAAACATTTCCTGGATGTAAATTGCAGCCTGGATCTTTTCACCATCCGCTAAGGAGTAGGTGGATTTCTGTACTTTATGATTCACAGGTACAACTTGCTGACTCAAAGGTTCTTATCCATTTATTCTTTATACTTTTCTAACCGTTTGCTGATACTAGTGACAAATTTATGTGGGTCGTCTCATAGTTTATAACTTTGAAGTTTATCCCTCTGTGATAGAGAACATTTGACATTTAAGATTTTTTTTTACATATTGCGATAAAAAGCTGTTTTCCGCTGTATCTACATTAACTGTCTTCATAAGCATTACTGCATGCATTATCACATGAATTTGGGATTTCTTTCATGGCTTTGATTCTACTATCATTGTCAAACAATTACTCGTATCTGAATCCAATCTAGTTGCCGCCAGCAACCATAGTAATAGTTTGTTACTTCAAGTCTTTCAACCTTTTTGGGATATAGTTTCAAAGGAGGATTTTTCAATCACGACTAAAAAGAAAGAAAATGAGTGAAACGAAACAGTGATTAGTGATGTATTGTGGTTCCAGTATGTTTTGAATATATATTGAACTCTTTGTTCCTTATTTTTCTAGCAGATTATGTTACCTTGAGAAATTTGTGCCATTGTTCTGCTCCCTTCATCCCTCTCCAAACAGAATATTTATGCTGTAGTTTCCAACTGTATTTATTACATATAGTAATCCTTTCAGCTTGTAAAGTTAGTCTTCATGCTGTTTGTGAACTTTCTTGCTGGTATTCTGTCAGGATTCATAATATGATGGCCAGTGTTACTATCAACTGTCTCTCATTGCTATGAACTATGTTCTAAGCCATGTATATGCACTGTTACTGAAACATATGTTCCTTCGACGCGAGTATGATATGATCCATTGAGCTTCATCACTGTGTTTCCTGTTTTGACGAGTTCACAATTAATGATTTCGGATGCAGGGCTGTTTAGTCAAGGAAAAACCTTATCTTATTGAGTTAACAGACAGTCAAATGATTTATCTGTATTCTATTGGCTCATATCATTTTCTTCCAGCTTATAGTGTGATCATGAACTTAGATCTTCAAGGATTATGATATCATTTTCCACTGCTTATCTTTTAATTTTTAACAATCATTGCGTCATGTCTGTATGAACCTTTGGCTTAAATGTTATAAAATACCACTAAGAATGTAGCTTTGTTCAGGATCTCTCTGCTCTAAAGATTGGCTGGCGGGGTCTGGAGGCAATAAATCGCAGCCAATCTCTCAAATTGAAAGCATCTCTCCGAGGTTCCAATATGTTCTGAGCACGAGTGTGAGCTTTTAGATGGCTTGATTGTGATGTATACCTTTTGTCATCATACGGAAGCGGAACATGTTGGCTGGAACCTCACTCTCCATTCAGTACTGAATTTGAGAGAAGAAGATGAACCTTGTTAGGGAGGCTGTTTGAACATCTATTTGACCATAAGAGGATTCACGATCTCAACCTGGTGATCTTTTACCTGACAATTTTATATTATATTAGTACAGGCAGTGAAATTCCTGATACTGTGAGATTTATATGGCTGCAATTATATGAATAGTTGATGCTTTGTTTGAAATAGCTGACCTTTTATTCCCTAGCAGTCCATCATTGCTAATGATGAACATTGCAGCTTGGATCTTTCATTTGGTTTCTTACAAACTGCTGAAGATGCTGTGAGTGGAAACTCTCAAGGTATTATGGATACCAACAAAAAAAAAATCCTGACCAAAACAAATGAACACTGCTGTATCTCTGTGACCTTTTTTTATTTTTGTAGAGGGAGAGGTATTCCTAGAGGATTTTGATTCTTGGGTAGAGGCTCACTCCTTATTCTTTGATTCACTGGAGGAGCTGAGCTTTGGATTTGTGCAAATAAATATCATGAATAATCCAGCATTCTTTGTTTCAACTGCTTTCTGATAATAGGAGAGCCTCAGTTTTGTTGAAGTTTTTGTATCTTTGCTTCAAATGCCTGTAAGAAGTGAGCCTCAGTTTTGTTCAGTTTTTGTTGTAATATGTACTCTATCAATTGTAACCTTACTTGATTCATTAAAATGAGTAAAGAACAGGAAATGATTCATTCATAAGATTTACTGTGGCAAATGTTGACTGTTTAATTTATTTTGTTCAATTGGCAGGCACCAAAAGGGTTGCCTTTATAATTGGAAGTTTTACACTGAATCAAAGCCCTTTTAATTGGGAGTTTTACATACGTTCAGCATACTACATGGTTCATATTACATGGTTCATGCTTATCGTAACTTTGTGCACTGCACAGAGTCACAGATAGCTTGCTACCTAGATTTCCCTAACCGGCACATATATATTAGGATTGTTTATTCAGCAAAAATACCACCATTCTGTGATCTAGAACGCTTCATATCCTATTGAAGAAATATTCATAAATCTATTGAAGAAATATTCATAAATTAAGAAACGAATCACTTATCGGCAACTTTATCCAGGCCAGCCAGAAAAACTTGCTTAGGGTCTATAACAAAGACACAGAACAGTACAGTAAGGCATCAAGCCCAGTGGAAACTATGTATTCTGATGATTTAAGTTGTACATATGTACCAATTACAAATACACTGAAGCACCACATATTATACACTTTACATCAGGTGCCCACTCTCAAAGGGCAGCATGAAGAAGAACATGAATAACCCTTACAAGCTTCTTTGATTATAGAATTCTAAACAAGGACAGCTGTTGGTGTAGTTGGTGGAACCCTATTCTCAACAGGAATCTCCGTAAACTCTGAGAGAATTCCTCTGAACTCATCACCAGTCATCGTCTCCTTCTCAATAAGTATCTCCACAATCTTATCAATCGCTTCTCGGTTATTTCTGATATGGCTCAAAGCAATCTCATAAGCAGTGTCTGATAACTGCTTCACAGCAGCATCAATGTCCTCTGCTAGCTTCTCTGACATTGAATTCCTTGCCATCATTCTCATGATCACATCGCTTTGTGCTGAAGAATCCGTTAGTGACCATGGGCCAATCTCAGACATTCCGAAGGTTGTTACCATCTATAAGAAAAAAAATGAGAGGAGAAAGATAAGCTTCCATAAAATCAAAGGAAAACATTGTTATTATAAAGCCCTGTTATTCCTACTGCTTAGTGTTTTAGGTGAGAATGACAGGTTTCTCGTTCATGAGACCACAGGTCCACAGGTAAAAATGAGAATAAAATGGTTGGAAGCTGCAAAGTTCTGAGCATGACCATGGATTTTATGCAAAGTTCCCATTGGTCTACTGCAAAACACTCTAATTCAATATTCTCATAATACAACACCAATTTTAGTGACCCAGCAGATCATAAGGGCGGTACAAGTGTAAATTTCACAAAATTGACTAGAACTTTTGGAGATTTTGCACAAAAACTGCATAAACCTTTTCATCAATGAAAACTACCATGAACTTTTTTACTGAACTACTCTCATGTTGTTCTCATCCCTAAAATCCCTTGCCCACATGTAGGTGACTTTAGGCCCATCTGCCCGCCTCCTACACAGATCCTTACAAATCATCTCTAGGGCTCTTGCAAATAGGCTAAGTACAAAACTTGGAGAATTGATTGGTGAATACCAATCTGGTTTTGTGGCAGGAAGATATATCTAGGACGAGGTAGTCACAGCACAAGAGGTGATACACTATTGTAATAAGTATAATAAAGAAGTATATTTGCATATGAGTTTTTGGATCAAAATGGATGGCATGGATTAAATCTTGGCTATTCTCCAAAGATTATTATACTACCCAATGGAGAACCTGGTTAGGAAATTGTCTGCAAGAGAGGTCTTGGACCATAAGATATAACCATTATTGCCATTGGTATTCGTTTTAGTTGTTGACGGCCTTAACATTCTGCTTAACAAGGCGAGAGAAGGACTTATTGAAGGTCTGGGTGTGGGTGGTAATAGGTCTAGGTACAGTAAGCGGACTAGGCGAGAGAAGGACTTACAGTATGCGGACGACAAAGTTTTGTATGGTAGAACAAATGTAGCCCAGGCGATCATTGTCAAATGGATCCCGTGTAATTTTCAGCTTTTCAGGGCAGAAAGTTAACTTTCACAAAAGCTCAATTTTATTCTTAGGACGTAGGAATATCAACACAATGTTAATCGAGAAAATTTTAGGTTGTCCCTGTAAAGAATTTCCACTAAAATACTTGGGAATTCCCATCAGCTAGGCAGACTGAGGAAACAAGATTGGATTCCCATGATCGAGAGGATTGAGAAAAAACTTCAAGGGTGAAAAGGGGAACTTCTATCTTTCGGAGGGAGAATAACTTTATTGAATGCATCTTTATCAGCTACACCTTTATACTTCTTTTTCTACTTTGAGATGCCACGTTGGGTTGAGGCAAGAATCAACACCATTAGAAGAAAGTTCCTCTACAAACATAATAGGCCGCACGAGGATACAAACTAGTTTGTTAGGGACAAGTTTGTTGCTCGAAGGAAGAGGGAGACCTTGGTGTATTGAACCTTCGGGATATGAACAAAGCAATGCTTGCACGTTGGTGGTGGAAAATTTTAGCACAGCCTGCAGGCGCTATTGCCTCTTTATTGTCACATGAATATGGTCCAAGATCTGGACTGTGGAATCTGACACATAGAAATTTTCAAATCTGTTCAGGATTTTAGAAGGGAGTTGCTAACATGTGGGATGCATCCTAGGCGGGAATCAATGTCTCGCTCAGTCATGGAACCTACATTAGATTTTGAAAGGACAGACGGTGTGGTGAGTTAACTCCCCGATCTTTTCTCCTTTGCTAGGAAACACAATGCATCCATGATTTCCCAATGTAGGAGTAGATGATGTCCTAACTTTAACAACCTACCGTCAGGTCAGATTAAACAACTAAAAACAAGACCTACTTATGCTTCTAGCGACTGGAAACCCAAAAATGATAGGCAAGATGTGCCGCTTTGGCAATGGAAGCCCAGGAAATCTTTCACAGCTAGGTCCATGTATAGAATTCTTAATTTTGGTGGGTATAAATGTAGCAGCAAAGTTGGTATGGACCTCTAGAGCACCTATGACAGTTAGAGCGTTTTTGTGGCTTGCCAGTAGAAATGTCATCGTGACATGTGACAACCTGATGAAGCGTAGGTGGCAGGGACCTAATGTATGTGTCCTTTATCTTTCAAATGCTGAAACAGTATAACATTTATTCTTCCATTGTTCTTTCATGAATGTTATTTGGGTTAATATTACGTTGTGCTTCGATGGTGTTGAACAACCTAGATATTATGTGATATTTGGTCTGCTTGGAGCAGGGCTAGGATTACATAGTCAAATTTACCTTTATGGTGCTTAATTACAGCAGCCTCTTATTGAGCAGTCTAGCGTGAAAGAAATAATAGGATTTTTAGAAACAATGCAAGGTCTGCATCACATACATTTCTTCATATGATTGCTGATTTTTCTCTCTGGATAGGTTTGCCGTCAAAGGAGGCTAGGGATTGAGCTATTGCATGCTTAGCTCATGCTGACTTGCGCCATCATGTGCACGATGACAACTATGATCGACGGATTGTAGGGCATGATGCGTCGACGGGCGATCATGAAGGTGACTCTGATAGCGAATTGTTCCTTATCTGGCTTATGCAGTCTTCTACCAAGCTTCACTATTAGTATTTTGCCCATGTGGCCTTTTGTATGATTTTGAAATTTTATGACGGGAGTGCTATATTTTGTATTTATATGTTTCGTTAAACTCTTTTTTATGAAACGTGGAGGGATCTCCCATTGTTTTTATCACGAAAAAAAAAACTTTTTCTTTGAACTAACATGCTGACAAAGTTGGGGTAACTTTTTGGTTACTAATTTTTTAACTTTACCCGCGTAGATTTTTACCGATTAAGGTTGATAGATATTAATGACAATTTAGATCTTTTATCCAAGACATTAGAGCCATTAGCAACAGTTTCCAATAGTTCATGGTTTTTTTCGTAGTTTGAAAGTTCATCGTAAGTTTTCTCAATTAAAAAAAAGGTTTATAGTAGTTCTATGCAAAATCTCAAAGTTCACGGTAGTTTTGTGCAATTTATCAAACTTTTAATCTCACAGTCAATTGCATGTAAGTAGGACCTGCCTCATATGTCAAGGACTCAGTCTACCATTAGTAAGGAAATTACCTGTTTGGCCAAACCAGTGATCTGGATCAAATCACCGGCAGCACCAGTGGTGACCTCGGGCTCCCCAAAGATAACCTCCTCAGCAGCTCGGCCTCCAAGACCACCTACTATCCTTGCAAAAAGTTGCTG